AGGAAACACAGTAAGAAGAAAGTCTCTCACTTGCATTTATATACATGGTATATACGTGGTACTCCCATATGCACCTGCTCCAGACCTTATCAAAGGTAATGGAAGATGCCCATTGACATAGTGGGCTTTAAATCAGTCCCTGTGCGACGTCCAACTTGCAAACCCTAGTTTCTGTCCAGCCTAACATTCAGTAAAATGACTTTGCCTCAGCTCAGCTTGTGATTCCTACTTCAACTGCAGTTATGAGTTTTTTTCCCCCCCAAACAGGAAGCATCTAGCGAATATATCTGCGATTTTGAGAACTGAAATGTTAAACGATGTATAAACATTTCAGAAATTAATGATCCCTGCCACATCCCCTTCTCTGGCCTTGGCACGTGCAGTCTTGCCCCAGCTCACATCCATTTAAAACCCAGCTGGAAGGATTGTCCTTCCAGCCCCTCACTTTGCTCAAGTCACCCTGAGCTTCACACCTCTCCAGCTTCCCCTGTCTCCCTCATACCAAACATAAGCTGCCTGCCTTCATCCTCAAAGCTCTTCTCTTCTCTTCGTTCTCTCATCTCTCGTTTTCTACCCAGTTACCAACACCTATACCCAAACTTAGAATCATAGAATCATTAAGGTTGGAAGAGACCTCTTAAGATCATCGAGTCCAACAGTCAACCCAACACCACCATGCCCACTAAACCATGTCCCTAAGCGCCTCATCTACACGTCTTCTAAATCCCCCCAGGGATGGTGACTCAACCCCTTCCCTGGGCAGCCTGTTCCAACGTTTAACCACTCTTTCAGTAAAGAAATTTCTCCTCATGTCCAATCTAAACCTCCCCTGGCGCAACTTGAGGCCATATCCCAAATCCAGCCCCAAACACCAGCATCAACTTCTTAAACACTCACAGCATTGCATTTTCTGCCCATCAGCCTCTTCCCCCAGGGAGGATGTTCCCTTTTAATATCTACATCTCCACTCTACAAATCTCCCTGTCTGCAGAATTCTTAAATAGTCTTAAAAGGAAATATGTTCCTGTTCTCCTGAAATCACTTCTGTGGACCGGCATTGATTCACTGCTCTTTGAAACTCATCCTTCCCCCAGTTGTTGGTTCACCTTCAGCCGTTCCTCTTGCAATGCATTAAAATACCATCTGTACAGGTAGAGATGGCATTTTTGGTCTGTGACTCTACAGTACCTGGCACAAGGAGGTCTGAGCTGACCTTAGAGACTGGGGCCTCTAGGGTTCAAGGATGTAAACAGACTCTTCTGTACTAAATAACATTTTTATAAGCAGCATTTGTTGCAAGAGAAGCAAGAAAGCCAGAATGCCTCCATAGGCCAGGAGACGAGGAAATTTCTTCTTCTTCATTAACATTCAAAATTACAAATCAAACCATTCTAAATTTCTCACATAACCAAAAATGAAAACCAGACATCTATCTACCGCATAGCCAGTGATCTAGCTGAAAGGGAACTTTATGGTCTGAGACATGCCAAATTTGTTTTCAATTATTCTGTCCACATACAAAACCTTGATGAAGCCATACAAAGCAAATAGTACTGGAAGATCAGAGAAAAGGAAGATTAAGCTAATGGTATTCGTGGCCAAACCTTTTTTTTTTTCTTTTTTCTTTTCACCAGTCAGCAGGAGGTATCTGCATAGAAGGATTAATTCCCCCCTGGAAGGGGACCACATGCAGCATCAATGCAATCCTGGCAACCTTCCTTCAGTATGGCAAATGTAAAGCGACACTCACTCTTCTCAGCTATCATTACTCATCTAGCACATATTTGCAAGGCATACAAAGACAGGGTCTATGCCCCAGAGACCTTACAACCCAAGGGCCTGAATTTGCAGCCTCCACTTACATGAATAGCTCTATTGAAGTCAACAGGCCTTAAGCAGGGGTTGTGCAAGAAAGAATTACAGAATCCAGCTCAGCTGCAGCTCAGACACCTACGATAGCTCACTTGCACAAGCGCTTCAGGAGATTGTGAGGAAGGAAAATAGGGTACGAGGCTTTGTGCAAACATGCCAGTTGGCTCCGGGAACGAGGTGGAGGAGGAGTGGAGCTGGACTCCAAGCACAAGGGTTGGCACTGGAGAAGCAGCATTGCCAAGAATGTGGTAAATACGACAGCAGCCATGGGGAGATTTAGAAATGTATAGAGTGTATAGAAGATTAAAGGCGACAGAGGTCAAAATGATAGATCTACTGGGAACAGGCATGAATGTAGGAATCACCCTCTGTTTATCCATGGAGGCCCATTAAGCCCAGGTCCTCTGGGAGCCATACAGAAACTCATCTTAGGCATGGTACTTTCAAAATCCAAGATTTCCTGGCCTTCAGTGAAAAGCCATTGTATGACCAAAAGCCATCTTGTCTTTACAAGAGGAGAGGGAGAAGAGAAGAGTAGTTTTTAAGAACTGAGCATGTTTATTGTCATGCCTGACAGAGTAATTCTTTGTGGATCCAGCTAAGATGACGGGAGGGTCCTTTGGACTGGAATAGTTATTACAGTGACAGCAAAGCAGCTTTCGCTCTACCCTCTGTCCTGGCAGAACAAAATCCCAGAGTTATAGGTGGGAGACTGGAACGAAGGAAAACAGATAATAAATTACAAAAGAAAACTTGCCCCCAGTGAGCACAGTCAGTAGCGGCTGTAACAGAACCGGCCTTGTACACAGTTTTTAATACTGGCCACCTTTAAAAGTAATTTTAAGTGGCATATGCTTACATATAGAATGAGTTCCCAAGGCAAAACTGTTCACAGTCTTCTAATAATAGGTACATCTGTGAGTGTGTGTCTGTATAAATGTATACATACTTAAAGAAGAGAGGAATTGATTGCCTGTTCATATGGCAACGTTTGTATCATCTGCTGGATGAGGGGGTACAAAACACGTAGTAAAAGGCCTTCTGGTCTTCCACAGGACCAGATTTTAAATCGTTTGATCAGTGGAAGAAAGTAACATAATTATTTGGTAATTTATGGCATTATGGCAATGCTTTGGAATGACATCACTGTAAAATCAAAATAGCATTATGAAATGCAAATACAAAGAGAAAAATATATGTAAAAGAGTCAAGTATCCCTGTTTAAAAGGGTGTGTCTTTATCTTGAGTTAATTGATTACGTTTTAAAGGATAATACAGGTGAACATTTACCATAAGCATTTCCATCTACCTTTCACTTGCTAAGAACACATCAGGCTGACTTAGGAACAAAAAATGAAGATGGACAGCCCACAGAAATGCTCCAACTTAAACAGGAACTTTAAAATCAGAGTTTTACAGCCAGCTCTGCCACCAATTTACTACATAGCTTCGGCCATATCATAGAACCTCTCTGTTTATCTGTAACAGGGGAACAGTGATGCTAACGCTACTTTGCAGGGACAGAAATGAGTTAATATTTTGTGCTGCATGTTTATACAGAAAAATGCATTGTGAGCTAGAAGGAAAGAACACATTAAAGCTATGTTTCAGATATATGTCTCTCCTCAAAATTGAACTACAAGAGACTGTTACTCTCAACAAACACTCACCTCGACTATGCTAGGCAGCTTTAGTATTTAACCATAATGCTGATCTCTCTTTGGCGGAGCAAAGAAGGAGTAAAAGTGACCCTTAAAGAACCCTACAGAGAAGTGAAGACTTAAAATATTTTTTTTAAATAATAACTTTGAAATTCATTTTTTCCTCCCTTAGCAACAACCAAGCCGCTCGAAACCCTCAGTTTTTCAGTCCTACTCTTCTGCTCATCACACGGGAAGGGAGACGGCCGCTCGCCCTGCAGCTGCCCGAGGGGAGGGCGCAATGCCCTGCAACGGGAGTTGCAGCAGAGGCGAGAACAGAGGACCAGTCCCGCGCCAAGGTGTTCCCTTACTCTCCTTTCCGTGAAGAAAACAAAATCATATGGATTTCAGTTTCAAGAGAGTGAGAATCGAGAAAGATTTATGAATACAGAACTCTGGAAGGAAATATTTTTGTGTATTATAAGGTGACCTATTCACAATAAAACTCCCCCAAACTGTATACAGATCGAGCTGGAAAAAACCCAACTCCTTTGAGTCACATTTGCCACAAGGGGAAAGAGAAGCCAGACATGATGTGTACCTTTCCATACTCTATTTTGGGATTTTAAGATCCTATTTCTTTCAGTTGAAAGATTTTTCTTAAACTTTGCTTTTGCATAACTCTTATAACATTAACATAGCCAGACGTGGGCTGGTCTGTGACCTGAGGAAATGCAAAGCACTTTGGCAGATAAACAAATAACATCATTCAGAAAACAAGGAGACTTTTCTTGTTTGGTTTGCTGCTATGATTGGGTTTCTAAACAAAATGGAAATGTGTGGCATGATTAAAATCATCAGCTCACCTCTGTGTAAATAAAATTCATTCATTCTGCACTCCATCCGTGGATCAATACCAGTCAAATTTGGGAGAGGGGGGTATTTAAGTGCCATTTTCAGGAAGGCAC